ATTAAGCTATTACTTTTTAAGTTTAACAAAAAATTAACATTAATTATTAAATTTATATCAATTTTTAAAAGATTAAAATTTAAAATAATAAATTATATCAATATTTTTCTAAGTGATTAATTTATTTTAACTTTAACGTGATAATTTTGAAAGGGGATTTATATGTTTGCCCGACCTTCGGCCTTTTGCTTCAACGTGATTTATTGTGGTTGGGGCTATTGCTTCAACGTTACAACATCATATGTTCGGCCAACTTCTAGCTTTTGTAGCGGTTTTGTTGGAGCATATCTTTTGCAACAATAATGAATTATGAGTTTGTATAAATACAATCATAAAAAGTTTAAATATTAGTAAAATTATCAAATTAAGAAGCTTAATAGTAAAATTTCCACTATAAAAGTAGCAAGTTTAGAAGTTAAGAGATTGTTTTAGAATATGTTTGATTTGTCAATTAAAAGTAAATGATGATTATAATTGCTAGGTTATAATTGATATCTTTGATGCTCTATCTGTTTAAATTAAGTACAAAATTTTAGTTTGAGTTTTTAAATATGAATTTTAATTTAACATATTATATAAATAATAATTAAAATTATTTTTATTAAATAAAAATACTCAACAAAAATTACATATTAAAATTTTATTATTATTATTTATATAAATTATTAAATTTTTATTTGAAATTTATATTTAAAAACTTTTTAAAATCAAATTAGAACTATTAAATTTTGAACAAAAGAATATTTAATATAAAATCAGCTTATAAAATATTTTTCCAAATAGCTTAACTAATTATTTAATAAAAAAAGGCTATAAGTTGGAATTAATTATCCTCTAAGACAAACGCAGCCTTTATAAGGTTATCTTTTGTTTTGGTTACAAAAATTTAAACCCAATAACAACAATGTTTCTTATATATATATATTGGTTACACAATGAAAAGTAATAATTTTTTATTATTTATTTCATTCTACCCGTATATCATGCGAATCGAATTTAGATTCTTTTACATCAAACGAAATGAAATAATCACTATATTACCTAGTTTGTTAACTCAACATTAACAATGTTACTAAACGAATTCAATATCAAATCTTTTAAAAACTAAAAACAATTGAGTCTAATTGTATACACCCACAGGAGCTTAGAGTGTATTGGTGGTGGAG